ACTCATATATCATCGCTCATCATTCATCTCATCTTTCGTCGCTCATTATTCATCTCATCTTTAATCTACCTATCTTTTACCCATCATAATTATGGGCATAAAATACATATACAGTTTAAAACAATTAAAACATGAATATTTTTGCTCATCCAACATAGATATTAGGAACAAAAATTATATGCACACATAACACGTTAATATATACTAAATACCTCATATCTATGTGTAAGATGAAAGTAACTATGCACTCACTTGTTAAAGTAATGATTCCAAACTCGGACAATGCTTCACTTCTTAACAATATAATTTCATTCGATGAAACCTAGTATTATTACAACTAGATTTTAGTCTAATATTTACCACAAATAATTATTAGTCTTAGCATTATTATTATTATATAAGCGTTTAAACAATATTTTCTAAGCACTATGTACAGATAGGGACCAAACATAAAACATCAGAGGGCGGGACTATTTTTGCATATAGCACTTCTGAAATCCAACAACCTCATGCGACCCTTTAAACCAGATTCTCCGTACCGCGAGTAGTTAAAAAATATTATAATGACACTTATATAAGTCATAATAATACCTCAAATATTTATTATAAGTTCATAATAACAATACTAATTTTAAATATAAGCTATATTTAAAATAGGATAAGCATAACTTACTTACAAGGGGGTTTTGTTAGGAGCCGACCTCTGTAGGGCAGAACTTCGTCGCTGAATCTTTCTAAGAATAATTCTTGCACCGCTTCAACGCTCACCTTACTATAATAAAACTACAGAAAGAGAAGTCGAATCACGAGAGACCGAAATGTTCGGGAGATAACAAGAGAAAGACTCTTGAATCAAGAGAATGATGCAAGAAATATGAGAGCCTAGAGGCTCTTATTTATAGCAATTGAATTTTCAAAACTCACCCTATATATTTACTTAAATGACTAAACACCATTTATAATACTATTTAAAATAGATTTAATGATATTTGTACTAAAATAATATCGAAAGTACTCAACACTAGTATTATAACGACCGCATCGTCAATACATTTCTAATGATATATACATACATATGTATATATATGTATACGTATATGATTTACACTTTATTTTAATACATAAATGTGCTATTAAAAATTATAACTCGTTCATACGAACTCCATTTTCAATGTTTTTTATGTTCACGCGTAGCTATCAACGAGATCTACAACTTTCGTTTAGACTCCTCCGGCTAATTTTGAATTTATATTTTTATCCATATTTTTATAAAATTAATTGATATTGCTAAAATGATAACTCTTTCGTACGAACTCTGTTTTTGACATTCTTTTTCTCAAAATTCATATTTTAAGGAGTACTACGATCTCGTAGTACTCCTTAAAATATGTGTGTGTGTGTGTTTGGCACACTTATTTTTACGATTTATGGACGATTCGACTGATTTTTCCTATTTTATTATATTATACTAATCATGAAACATATAATATTCACATAATTCTTCTTTATTAAATCAAATATGTTACAATTGTTGATCATAACTATTACTTTGGTTAAGATTATTTATCCTAGATAAAAAAAAATCATATTTAACGTTTATTATTGACTAGCCCGAATCTACGGGTGTTACAGAAATACGACCCTCTAATTCATAAGATGAGTTTTAAACTTCAAATGATGAATTATCAAAAGAAAACTTAGCAAATTAAGGAATTTACCATTTTACCCCTTCCATTGGTAGATTGTATATGAACGGTTATTTAAGTTTGCAACATGTGTCAAGGTATTCATTATTGAGTATATTGTACGGAAATTAACATGTATAATAAATTTCTATTTGTCTAATTGTTTCAATTTCTAATTATAATGTTTTGAATGGCGTATTTGGTTTAGATTGGGTTATCACAACATACATTGTGCGAGGTTGAAGAAAAATGTAAAACTTAGTGTTTATACAAAAAGAGCTCTTTTAATATGATTTTTGATGTGTTTATTTGCTCTAACAATTTTAAATTTATAAGTCTTGTCAAATCTAAACCAACTAAACACAAATAGGCAGTATACCTAGTCGCAAAATAGTATAGTAAAGATAAGACGGGTGCTAAACACTAGTGGAACGGGTATGATTTTAATTAAAAACTAATGCTACTAATTAAACTAAAGAAATAATTATTGGGGAATTTTATCTGATTTTACAAGTTTAGAAAAACTTACTTCATTAACTTAACAATTAAACTAACTATGATTACTTTAACTAAACCAAATAAACATAAAACAATTTTAAATCAAGATTAAAGAGCATTTTCATTTAGCTTCAGATCACCTATACCTTATGGTTGACTTCTTATGAATGGATTATCTAGTTAGTTACTGAATTCTAAGTTACTAGTTATCTTGTTCTCATTTTCTAGTGTTTATCAATTCATGAACTACAATTACAATGGACATGCAACAAATGATCATTGAATTGATTTTAATATTTCCGAACTATGAATGACAAGATCTATTGATTTTCTTATCTATGATCAAGACAATAAATTAAATATATAACATGGATAACTAATGCTCTCTAACACAATCAAAGCTACTAATTATTACCACATAACCCTAGGATTTGTTTAATGTATAAATTTAACTATTTAATGATCATAAACAGTTAAATATCAAGTTCATGCAATTGGGATGGTCATCTAACTACAGATAACTTGTAGATAAATGATAAAATTAGAACTTTAACATGTTAAGTTCTTGATATATCAAACATGAGTAACAACCAACATAAATAAATCTATATAAATCGAAATCAACGCATAATATCAAGGTTCATATATGATAAACGAAAGCAAAGGGTTTAAGCCCATAACTATAGCAGAAAAGAAATCAAAAAAACTAAGTAAACTTTGAAACACATTTTTGAAGAAAAAGCAAATCGAATGATTAATCGTGTTTTAGCTCTCGATCTCTTTAATCCTTGTTCTTCAATCACTTTCTAGCCTTCTTAGGGTTTCTAAAAATACGCCACCATGCGTGGTAAATGGCTCATCACGTCGTGGTGGACAAAACCTTTACGTAGTCTCCAAGTTTTCATGCAAATCATCGGGGAAACTTCTAACGATGATACGTTACCACATTGTGGCAAGCATATGACCATGACGTCACAGACGCTTTTTTGCATGTTTTCTTCCATTTTGATGATTTCTTCAAGTCATTAGCCTCCAACTTTAGGAATTTTGCTCATTTTCCTTGAGAATGTATTTTCCACTACAAAATAGATTTTAACGTAATAAATACTAAATAAATTTATAAATAATACTTAAATATTATGCAAAATAAATAACTATATATAAAAATATTAATTTGATTTATGATTTTGTGTAAGCTTAGTACTAAATCATGTAATGTTGACCAAGGCTAATTTGACCACTCTAATGGTCAAGCATGATGGTATGTTTATGCAACATTACAATCTCTAATCAACCCAACCCAACCATTTTAAGTAATTGGGTTGAGAATCCCAATATTTTGCATCGTGTAGAATTGGTGGACATAATTGATGGTATGTTTATGCAAATATCGTTGCCCGTAAACCAAAGTAATAACTTTTGTGAACTTGTACGCACTATCTCGTGTGGTACGCTCGGACATTTTCAAATACTCGTCTCATTTGTCTGCTCCCATGTCGTACGCTAACTAATGAATTGTGATTGTGTATTTAAGAATTGGAGAAAAACTTTTTATGCGTCTCACATCCCGCTTCCACCGGAAATATAGAAAACGATCTTCCAAATCCCCAACAATACGTAAAAATAACTCTTTCCTCATCCGGAACCGCCGTCGAAACTTTTCAACTTACACGTCATCTGCAAAATAGTATTCTATAAGACGATTGTATCCGGCTTCGTGATTTCTCTACATCGGAGGGTTTCGTGTTTTAGGTCGTGAACGTGAGCTTTAACCTTGTTGGTTTTGGAAATACGCTATTGTTTTTGCCATGACGGAACCGAAAAATAATGCCTCTTGTTGAGCCATCATATCAGAGGACGAATATAACGATGATGACAGTGTGTTTGAGTGTTTTTTTTCCGGAAAATATGTAGAAATAAGTTTGAAAATCAAGTTAAGTTTGTTTTGTATTTAATATTTATAGAGTGGTAAATGTATTAAAAAAATCAAAAATTACCGTTTCTAGCTATTGAAACTAAAATAATAGGAAATATTTTTTTTAATGTTATCGTTTTAATAAAAAGAAAGGAAAAAAAAATCAGCTAATTGGATGAAGAGAGAGGCAGCGGTGTAGCCTCTCTTCACTCCTAAACTACACCACCTAAACCGCGGTGGCGGTATTTTGTTTCCAGCAACAGTCTCACATCCCTAAGTCGCTACACACCCATCATCCTATTAAAAATTGTCAAAAAACTATTTTTTATAATAACTAAATTTCAATTAATTGTTTTTAATTTAATTTGTAACGATAATAGTGAAAAATAACATAAATTTATAAATTAATTTATGTTAAGTTGCAAACAATGGTTGATAAAAAAATTAAAACATCATTAATTTTTTTTTTTTTGAAACATTATATTTTTAATCTACTCCTAAATACTATCTATGTCTCCCAGTAATACTTGAATCCTATGCCCTTTAATTTGAGAGAATAACTCCTTATCATTAGTCGCAAGGCCCTTTAATTAATATAAATGAAATAGCATTTCTAAAAACATACGATCACAAAAAGTTTAACTACATAACAACGTGGATATTCGTCCAGTAGAATTATAATTCAAACACCCCTATCGGTTTATACCATTCGGTCTCTTGGGGGATGTTATACAAAGTGGCTTCTATCATGTCCACAACTTCTATTTTAGGCTTTTAGCACATATGTCAAATTTTAGTCCGACTGTTTAAATATCAACAACTTCTAGTCCAGTCGCATGTAAGAATTGGGGCCTAAAAATGAATAACATCGATCGATATGAAACTGAAATCAATGGAAAAACCTGCAACTCAAACTTAATAATGAAAAAAGATGAAAGCAATTGATAAATGGAACACATACAAACAAACTATTGCAAACTTGAGCTACACATATTTCGACCTACAAACCACACTTTAAAAAAATGACATACAAACTTCTAGTAACCTGTTTGCCCGTTATACCCACCCTCCATATTGCTACCGCCACCACCTCCCCCTTGCTGATCTCCACCACCACCTCCTGCCCCAAACCCACCACCACCACCACCATACCCAGCATTGTAGCCATCATTACCACCATAGTTTCCGTAACCATAACCTTGACCCCCATACCCAGAAGCTCCACCTGCAGATTGACCCATTGATGCAGAGGCCGTGGGACCACCTCCTCCATAACCCATATTTGGACCATAACCAGAACTTTGACCACCCCACTGGGTTTTCACTGCACCAGGATTTCCATAACCAGGGTTCCCGTATGCACCACCATAGCCGCCACCACCATAACCACCAACACCATAACTTCCATATCCACCTCCAAAACCATAACTTGGTTGACCATACCCGGAATATGTTGGGTAGCCACCACCGGTGGTTTGTTGCAGGAATCTATTACCATCCATTTGACTATCATATGAGCTGGAATTGCTACCTTGATATCCACCACCACGTGCGCCACTGCCACTGCCACTGCTGCCAGGATTAGCGTCTTTAGGAAGTGCTCGTTTCACCTCAACAAGCTTATTGTTGAGTTCATGGAAGGTCTTTTGAAGAACTCTATCAACAGCATCTTCTGTATCAAATGATATGAAACCAAATCCACGAGGTCTGTTGGTGGTTTGGTCAAACATGATTACTACATCCGTTATATCACCATAAGTTTCAAAGTATTGACGGAATTGGTCCTCTGTCAAGGTGGAAGGTAAACCGCCAACAAATATCTTTTTGGTTCTGTAATTTCCTCCTGTCCCTGACCCACCGGAGCTCCTCCCAACATTGCCTGCAGGTCTAGACGTTTGCTGTTCTTCCCTCGATAACGCCCTCTTAGCTTCCACCTGCACATTATGAGACGCCGAATCTGAAATTGAATTTATAACTGGAAAACGAGGCGAAACGCTATAATTACACATTGTTATACAATGATCGCGAAACTAAAACCCCAAACCCAAAACAATGACATACACAATCGAATAGCAATTTCTTACAGTTCGGCCTTCAATAGTATGCCTATCTTGAAGAACAGAATCGAGAAGGGAAGGATCTGAGAAAACTACGAAGCCGAAGCCACGTGGACGGCCGGTGGTCTTGTCGCGCATTATAACAGTCTGAGAGACATGTCCGTACTTGCTGAAGTAATCTCTGAGGGTTTCCTCGGTGGTGTCCCATGCTATTCCTCCGATGAATAGCTTCCCTTCGTCTGAATCCATTGACACCACTTTATTTCTCGCACAGAAAGACGTGAAAACCCTCAGTTCAGGTTGAGTTGCAGAGGTTGAATTTAGGGTTAGGGTTTGTGTGCTAATGTGCCACAGATTCCGAGTGCCACTTCCCGGAAAACGCAGTATTTGTTGAAAGACACGGTGCAAATAGCAAGAAAAAGGAAGTCGCCCGCTCCCCCCATCCCACCAAGAAACGCCACCGTTTCAGCAATATACGTTTCAATCGAATATTCTTATAGAGCTTTTAATATGTGTGAAGATATTTATGGTATTTCTTTAGTCAAACTTGATCTATTTTGATTAAGAGGGGGAATTCCGAGAATAGTTAAGTTTGGCTAAAAATAAACGGGTCCAAAATCATCCAAAATATAATAATTCTTAATAAATTACAAAAAATCTCTTGATACAAAAAAAAAAAAAAAAAAAAAAAAAAAAAAAAAAAAAAAACTTACATGAAGTTTTTTTTTCAAGGGGCATCAAGTCTGGATTTTTGATACATGAAAAATGTAGAGGCACCAAATCCTCTCAGCAACTTCACCTGCAAAAAGATTCAAACAATTAAAATCTCTATCCCATGAAATTTTTTATTATTAAGTTAAAATTATTTATCACCCATATTTACCATTACAAAAATCGATTACATTAATTATTCTCTACAATATTTAAACGGGTGACATCTGGAATCACTAATAATACGAACAGAGAACTCACATTCTGTGTGTTCCTTGTTACCATCACTACAACTGCAGCATCTATAGAAAGAAAACTGGTCAAAATTTATAGAAAACAAGAATCAAATAAGAACAATAATGAAAGCTTAAAAAAACATAGATACCGAATCTTTGTAGTTTTCCCTTTGAATTGACTCAATAACTCACTTGCATATGCTTCAAATAAACGAGACCTGCAACCAGAAAACAACCCATCTCTTGGTTTTAACACACGTGTCTAAATAAATAGGTTCCCACTTTCCAACATGTTTTAAAATTTGTTATAATTAGATTTAAAGGTAAAAAGAAATGGAAGAATCAAAGAAGAAATGGTTTACCAGGGAGGAAGAGATGATGCTACAAGTGCAGGAGGGATTTCCCACAATCTATGAATCTGATTGCTTAATTTTGCATCAAGATACTCAACAATCTCATGTTCCTTGAACTGAAAATGGGATCAAAAAGTGGAATGATTTGTAAATAAATTGAACTTTGTAAGAGAAAGACTACCTTTGAGTCCTTTGTTTCCTCCATTAATTTGACATTTTGAAATCTTTTCAAGATCAAGTTGTGTACTCCTTCGTATAGTGTGTAGATACTAAAAGGTTCATTACAACTCGACATAAATTGTTTAATTACATGATTCCATCTCCTTGATATACATCCTACCAGTAACAGCTCCTGTAATGATTCATTATTGGTTAAAAAAAAAAAACATGTTTGTGAAAAATATAATATATACTCCTTCATGCCAAAATGTTGCAACTTTTGAGTTAACACATGTTTAGATAAAGTGTTTGACTACTTCTCAAGTGTAAAGATCAATTGACTTTTTGAAATATAAGTCACTCACAAATGTCTCATTTTCTTCACTTGATGTATCTAACTGTTCAAAAACTTGTATCCACTGAGCCATAGGAGCAGAAAAAATCATGCTTGCACCTGAAACCAATCTGATAGTCTGCTTATCAAGTAGATATGAAAGGGTTTTCATCCGCCAATTGCTCCACCTGATTAAAATAATCAATTAGTGTTTGATCATTATTGCTGCTTACAAATTGTTTTATGGATAAGTATGATGATTAATGAATGTTAACATGACAAAAATATCACTTACACATAAGCCTTTTGTTGTTCTTGAAGCTCATTTGAGGTTCCTTGTGCTATGGTTTTAGAAACAACATCCACACTTGTCTCCATTGATGAAACACATGAAACTGCAAGTTGCCTTTTTGTGATTCCTTGAATAGCAAATGCTGTCAAATCGGTTTTCGTGTAGGTTTTAGCCTTGGGAGAAGGCTTAGGCGAAAAGTCCATTTTACCCTCCTCAACAGAAGCTTGAGGACTCCTTGTTGTGTTTTGCAGCATCAACTTGTCAAGATATACATCCAGGTAATCGGTTTCTGTCCTTTGAAGTTCATCAAGATCCATTTCAATGGTTGCTTTTAGAACAGATTTGAGATGTTCATCCCTCATTGGTAGTGTGTGAATAAAATGTTCAAGTATAAAAAATCTTGCTTTACCAAGTGTAGTGGATGATATATGTGTAAGACCCTGAGTAACAAGATGTAATCAGATAAATGGGTGCTTCTTTTTTAATCAATGCAGAAAGAATGAATGGCTTAATAGAGAAAGTCAGGAGTAAAATGAGTTTTAACCATTCCTCATTAAGTCCAAACTGTTTGCGATAAAAAAAAAAGAGCATAGAAACAGGGCTAAGAGATGTTCCCACCTGTGGAAAATGAGGATTGGATGTCAGTTTAGATAAGGCTGCATCGAGTTCAGCTATGGAGTCTTGATTGGCATCTATACTCTCAAACACCTGGAAAAATAGATAATTTCATGTTCCACAAACCCTACCCTAAATCAATCAACAATGAAAAAACAATTGAAATTGCTTAATAATATAAACTTTCCTATACCACAAAAGATTTAATTCATAATTACTTCATTCTATTCGACCAATTTCAGATTGGAACAAACCGTTTTGCTTAAAACTGTTGTAATTTCATGTTCCACAAACTACACGGGATTTTAAAGTAAAACACAAAACCAGAAAGAGGAAATTGAATCAAGATAAGACTCTTCTTCATTCATACTATTCATAACGTATGGAATCTAAAATGGAAAAGTAGAAAAGAAAATAGGGATTGCTCACATTCTCGAAGAAAAGACCCCATTGAAAAGCTTTTTTAATGTTTAGCGGATCCCAGTGAGCAAAGCGACCAGATGATTGATACCCAGAAGCTAAAATCAAGATATCAACAAACCCTTTGATC